CCAGTTACCTCCTGAAAGAGATCCCAAAAGGAAAACTCCCAGTAATATTATAGCCAAATTCCAGAGTTCTCAGGTCAAGGAGAAAATACTGCAAGCACCAAAAAGAAACAATTCAAGTATCGCTGGGTTACAGTCAGAGTAACACAAGACTAAGAGGCTTCAACTTTAAAGGAGTAGAGGGTTTGGAATATGATATTGCAGAAGTCAAAGGAGCTAGGATTAAAACCAAGAATCACCTACCCAGCAAAACTAAGTATAATCGATGAGAGGAAAAAAAATTGACAGTGAGATAGAGGAATTTAATGAATTCTTGAGAAGCCAAAGCTAAATACAAAATTTTACTTTCAAATACAAGACTCAAGAAAAGCATAAAGTGAAATCATTAGGAATTCAGTAAGGTTAAACTTTATATTCCTACGTGGGAAGATAATACTTGTAACACCTAAGAACTTCCTCATTATGGCAGTTAAAAGAAGTATACATAGAGGGTATGGGTGTGAATTGTCTATGATGGGATGATATCCAAAAAAATAAAATTAAGGGCTGAGAAACAGGAATATACTGGCAAAGAAGAGAGAGAAGGGGGTAAATTATCTCAGATAAAGGAGCTTAGTAGAGGGGAAGATGGAGGTGGTGGTGGGCCACGTTTAAATCTTACTCTCATCGAAATTGGCTTAGGGAATAACATGCACACTCAGGTATAGAAATCTATCTTACCCTAGAGGGAAGTAGGAGGAGAAGGGGATGGGGAGTGGGGGGCTGATAGGAGGGTGAATTCAGGGAAGCAGTGCTCAGAAATAACACTTTTTTTTTCTTTTTTGGTGAGGCAATTGGGATTAAGTGACTTGCCCAGGGTCACACAGCTAGTGTCAAGTGTCTGAGGCTGGATTTGAAATCAGGTCCTCCTGACTCCAAGCCTAGTACTTTATCCACTCTGCCATCTAGCTGCCCCCAGAAACAAAACACTTTCGAGGCAGAAGAAGATGAAAGGAGAGGTGGAATGATAAGTAAGGAAAAAGTCAGAGGGTGGAAAATACACAATAATCATAACTGTGAATGTGAGTGCAGAAATGGATAGCAGGATGGATTACATGATTTAGACATAAAGAATGATACAAGCAAATTAGCAGAGTATATAAGACATAGATCTATGGTTAAGGGAAGAATTTATGACCAAATAAGAGATAGAGAATATTATAGGATATAAAATGGATAATTTTTATTACATTAAATTTTAAAAGTTTTTTTTTTACTCAAAACCAGTGCAGCCAAAATTAGGAGGAAGGCAGGATATTGGGGAAACTTTCCAACAGCAAGTATCTCTGATAATACACATTTCTCAAAGATTTAGAGAACTAAGTCAAATTTATAAAACTACAAGTCATTTCCTAATTGACAAGTGGTCAGAGGATATGAACAGTTTTCTATCTACTCATTAAAAAAAATACTCTAAATCACTAGATTAGAGAAATGCAAATTAAAACAGCTCAGATTGAAACACCTATTGGATTGGCTAACATGACAGATAAGGAAAATGACAAATGCTGGAGGGGATGTGGGAAAATTGGAACCCTAACGCATTGTTGATGGAGTTGTGAACTGATCCAAAAAAGGGCTAGAAAACTCTCCATATCCTTTGACCCAGAAATGTTACTGCTAGGTCTATATCTCAAAGAGATTTTTATTGTTTTTTTTTGGGTTTTTTTTTAAGCAATTGGGGTTAAGTGACTTGCCAAGGGTCACACAGCTAGTAAGTTTTTGGTGTGAGAGCAGATTTGAACTCAGGTCCTCCTGACTTCAGGGCCGCTGCTCTATCCACTGCGCCACCTAGCTGCCCCTCCAAAGAGATTTTTAAAAAAGAAAAGAACCTCTATATCCAAAAATATTTATAGCAGCTCTTTTTAAGCTGGCAAAAAAAATTGGAAATTGAGGGGGTGGAATGCCCATTAATTGAGGAATGGATGAACAAGTTGTGGTATATAACTGTGATGGAATACTAGTATGCTATAAGAAATGACGAACAGGATGCTTTCCGAAAAACCTGGAGAGACTTAAACATGAGCCTGAGCTGATGTAAAATGAAGTGAGCAGAACCAGGAGAACAGTTTACATAGTGACAGCAATATTGTATGATGATCAAATGTGAATGCCTTAGCTGTTCTCAGCAGTACAATGATCTAAGGACTTATGATGGAAAATGCTCCCTACCTCCAGAGAAAGAACTGGTACTGTCTGAATATAGATTGAAGTAGGCTTTTTTGTTTACTTTCTCTTTTTTGTGGGGTCGTTTTTTGGCTTGGTGTTTTCTTTCACAGCATGACTAATAGGAAATATTTTTGCATGACTGCACATGTATAACCTGTGTCAAATTGCTTACCTTCTAAATGGGGGGGGAGGGAGAGAATTTTTAAAAGAATAGAAAAAAATTACTTTTACATGTAATTGTGAAAAAATAAAACTTTTTTAAAAAAGCTCTTTAAAATCTAGCAGAGACCCCATGTATAATACCAGTGGTAGAGAACTGTAGCTCCTTTGAAATCCAAAGTTACTTTTAAGTACTTAAATATTATAAGGCAGTGTTTAGTGTGTGTGTGGGGGTGTAGTCTGCTTTTTGCTTTGCAACCTCCATGACAACAGGTAATGCTTTAGTATGCCTTTGTCAACAAGTATCTTTTGATGTTTGGGAAAGCTCCCTGTTGTATAGAGCTTGTTAGTCTTCCATAATAAGTTTCTGTGTGGACAGGGCAGGAATGGTGAGCACTAGAAGCTTTTAAACCCCTCTCGGAGAAAAGAAGAAGGATTTTCGTGAGCTAGACACACTGATACAAATAAACACGGCCTCATTGTCTCTGTGAGTTTGGGGAGCTAGGACATAGTGCTTTAGGGAGAATCTCAATTCTTTACAACTTGGACTAGATGGCCTTGGAGGTCCCTTCTAGCCAGATATTTTATATATAAATAGATATCTATGTATGTATATGTAATATACACACATACCCGTGTGTGTATGTGTGTGCGTGTGTGCGCGCACCTTTGACTTTCAGGTTGTGATCTAGGAGTCAATGTATGTTACTGTGAAAAAGAATGTTAGATTTGGAATCAAGGCCTTAGTTTGAATTCTCCGCCTGACACAGTATTATGTTATCATGGGCAAATGATTTCATTTCTGAATCTCTTTGCTTTTCTGTAAATAATAGACCTTTAATTCTTCTCGCAAGATTTTTTTTAAGTGCCCAAAAAGATGATGTATGGGGGCAGCTAGGTGGCTCAGTGGATAGAGCAGTGGCCCTGAAGTCAGGAGGACCTGAGTTCAAATGGGGCCTCAGACAAAACACTTGACACTTACTAGTTGTGTGACCCTGGGCAAGTCACTTAACCCTAATTGCCCCACCCAAAAGATGATGTATGTAAAGTAGTTGTAAACCTTAAAGTATTATATAATGTGAGCTATTGTTTTTATTTTAAAACATGGTATAAATCCCAGTAACAAAAAATACTTAAGTCTCAAGAATATGAGGGGAGAAAAATGGGATTAGTGCAGTGGAAAATGTAAAATGCTTAAATTGTTAGAACTTTGAAAATATTCATTTGAAGTCTGACCCCTTAAACTTAAGACTTTAGATAATATTTTACTACTTTCAGATGATATTAAAACTTTTAAATTTTAGTTCATCAAATGCTCTTTGAACACAATTTTGGAAATGGATTGCTCAATAGAGTTTTTTGGGTTTGATTTTGTTTTTTTTTTTAAACTGGGTTTGCCTATCTCACCCAGGCTGGAAGTATAGGTGCTACTTATGGCCCTGGTCCCAACCTGATCAGCACAGGAGCTTTGATATGCTCTTGTTTATGATCTATGCAGATTCATCTTTCCTTTAGGAAACCTGGTACTTCCAGGGGCACACTGTATCAATTCCAAACTTAGTTCAGACATATAATTGGCTATCAGGGATGGGAAATCTGTGGCCTTAAGGCCATAGGTGGCCTTTTAGGTCCTTGGATGTAGTCTTTTGATTTGAGTCCAAGTTTTACAAAACAAATCCTTTTATTAAGGGGACTTGTTCTATGAAGTTTGGATTCAGTCAAAGGGCCGCACTTGAGGACCTAGAGGGCCACATGTGGCCTCGAGATCACAGGTTCCCCACCACTGGAACCCATAGCAGATTGGATCAGAACTCCAGAGCTTAAAAGATCCACCAGCCTCAAGTTCCCTGATAACAGGGATTATAGGCATGTCGGCTTTCTAAAGGAATATTCAAAGTATAAAAGTTACCCAACTTTTTCTCCAATTTGTACCTCCTTTCAACACTTTGGCATCTGTATATTATGATTGTTATGCACATTGAAGATAAAAGACAGCTCTAAAGAGCTTCCAGAAACTAATGGAACTATCTAGAGAACTTTCTTTTCAGAGCATGTTTGAGAAATTTGATGTTCTTTATTTATATCTGAGTCTCCTATATGTCTCATTCTTTTGCTAATAGCCTAAGTGAAAATTTTCTAAAATTGATTCCAATCAGAGGATCTCTCCAATTTAATTATAGTTAGAATATCCCAGCACATTGGATTTAGCCCCTGTGGCAAACGTATAGGAAAACATAGACAGAATGCCAGGAACAAAGCAAGGCACATTCACTTTGATGTGATCACAGATCTGTTTGAGTAACATGTGCTTAACATTTTTAAAAAATATCTTAATACAAAAATGTATGATAGGCTTTCCTATTTCTGAAATACCTCCTCTCCCCACCCCCCCACCCCATTTTGGGACTATAGTCATAAATCCATTGAAATAGAAATATGTTAAGAATAATGTACAAGTACTCCCTAAATTTAATTTTACTTTTAACCTTTCTAGAAAGCAAGTATAGCTGTGTGGGTGAGTTGCTTTTTCTGGAATACATACATACATGCATGCATGCATGCATATCTGTGTAATTCTTGATGTAGAACCTTTTCAGTTCATGCTTAATTTGTTGCTGTTTTTTTTTTCTCTCCAGCAAACAGAGGAGACAATGGCAGGGCATAATCAACTCTGCATTCGCCGTTGGACTACTAAGCATGTTGCTATATGGCTGAAAGATGAAGGTTTTTTTGAGTATGTGGATATCTTATGCAATAAACATAGACTTGATGGACTTACATTGCTAACATTGACTGAATATGACCTACGGTCACCTCCTCTGGAAATTAAAGTCTTGGGAGACATCAAAAGGCTGATGTTATCAATACGTAAACTGCAAAAAATACATATTGACGTTTTAGAAGAGATGGGTTACAACAGTGACAGTCTTCTTGGCCCCATGTCACCTTACATCAGTGTTCTGCAAGGCTCAGACTGGCTTTGTAATGGGGAACTACCACATGACTGTGATGGACTTATCACTGACTTGAATTCAGATCAGTACCAGTACATGAATGGGAAGAACAAACACATGGTTAGAAGATTAGACCCAGAATACTGGAAGACCATATTAAGTTGTGTGTATGTGTTCATAGTATTTGGGTTTACATCCTTCATCATGGTTATAGTCCATGAACGAGTGCCTGACATGCAGACTTATCCACCACTACCAGATATATTTCTAGATAGGTAAGTATTTGTTGTTAATATATTAATTAAAAAGGCATTTTAATGTGGTTTTAAAAACTAAATAAACAGCAGTCTAGAACAAAATGTCTGTGGTAATTGGTATTATGTCTCATTTAGTGGCATACACTATTTGTTTTATTAGTGTATTAAAGTATACTTTTAAAAACCCAGTTAGCCACTTACCCAGTGACTTAGAACTTAGCCCAGATAACTGGAAAAAGAATGCCAACAATTCGTTTTCATGCAAGTGTATCTCCTTTAGCAATGAACTCTGTTGTTTAAGGACCAGCCAGTCCAGCCTTTATAAGTTCTGGGAGTCTTGTCATTATCCACAAGGTGAGAAGTTTTCTGGACACAGCCATGGTCAAAGACCATCTACTAAGTTATGGAAAGGTTTGTAGTCTGCGTCTCAGTGTGAAAGTATGTCCTGATGATGTGACAATGTCTTGGCAATGAAAAATGAGGGAGTTATACTAGACTTCTAAGGGTCCCTTCCAGATCTAAATCTGCTTCTATGACTCTAGGTTTTGATGGTTACCAGATCTTCTGTGTTTAAAGTAATCTTTGGAGGCCTACAGGTTAGCCCAAATGAGCTAGATATATCTAGTTACTAGAATCATCACCAACAGAAATGTTTGTTCAGTGATAGTTAGCTAAGTTTTAAGAATAGAAATTCCCAAGATTTTGAAGTTATAGCAACTTCTTGTTAGCTTTGCTTAAAAAAAAGTTTTCCATTTGTACAAGAACTATATGCCTTGTCTTTATTTTTAAAGTTCATTGGATTTGGAGTTGAAAAGTACTTTAGTTGTCTAGTCCAACCTCTTCATTTTACATTGAGAAGCTGAGGCCCAGGGAAATTAGGTTACTACTATACTTATGTAGTATCTGAGCCAGGTGTCCTCCTCTGACTCTAAATCAAATTCTTTTTTGGGTGGAGTGTTTATTATTTTTGTATTTATTATTTTATTTTCTCCCAGTTACATGTAAAAACAAATTTTAGCATTTGTTTTTAAAACTTCGAGTTCCAAATTCCCTCCTTCCCTCCCCACTCCCTATTGAGAAGGCAGGAAATTCGTAAATCAAATACTCTTTTAAAAGTGAATTTAAAACAACTTAGTTTAGGGAATTTTAAAAGCATTTTCAATGCCTAAAAAGTGATTTAGTCTGTATTTGCTTCAAAGAATTTATAATCCAAGAGACAAGAATTAGAAGTTAACCATTCAAACATTTATTAAGAGCCTGCTATCACAAACATTATGCTAGTTGCTAAGAATACAAGAACAAATGGTAGTTTCTTCCCTCACGGAACTTAACATTCTATGCAGAGACAAAATACACGATGTTGTTGGCTTGTAAGCACATAGAAAACATGAACAGAGTAAATATAAGATAATTAGAAGGAGGAGAGAGAGAGCATACCAGCAGCCAGGAATGTCAGGAAAGGCCTTAAGGTGATGCTTGAGCCAAGTTTTGAGAGGAGCTAGGGATTCTAAGAGATAAGAGGAAGGCAGGGACAGCATTCCAAGTATGGGGAACAGCCTTTGGGGAAGGCACAGAGAGGGAAGGTGAAGGTACAGCCAGAAGCCCATTTTGGCTGGAACTAAAAGTATGTGAAGGAGGAAACAATGTATAGTAAGCCTGCAATGTAAGAGAGCCAAGTTAGCTGTGAAGGGGTTTATGTGCCAAATAGAAGAGTTTGTGTTTGATCCTAGAGGCAATGGGAAGCTCCTGAAGCTTACTGAGAAGGTGGTTAAGAAGAATGCCTTTTCTTGACTTCTGCATAATTTATTTTTGATATTTGTTAAATATCACTGGAAGTTTTCAATAATTGAGTAATAAAATTAGCAAAATATAAATTAGTTCTCTCAGTAACTGAGTGCTATTTGGAATGTGTTTGTATTAGAAGCTAGTGTCCCTTTAGGTAGTTTTACTTTTAACTGACTTTTTGGTTCCTTCACTGTATATTTACTGTCAAGTTTAATTTGTTCTGCACAAGCACTTCAGAGAGAGAGTTTCCAAGTAAGTACCTTTTCATGGCTCACAGACACTGAAGAGAATCAAACCAAAGAAGGATAGACGCAGTAGGGCCCATCTGGTTGGAAACAAAGAACACTGGCAAAACTATGGAAACAGTGTCTTTGCAGAGAAAATTAAGAAGCAACAGTTAATCTCATTGTTGCCTTAATGGCTTCCTATCACATACTAGATAATACTTCACTGTATCAGCAAAGTGCTACCAAAAAGGTTTTATCATTAAAATACATTTTTCATGTTGGTTGTCTTGTAGACTGGATGGGGATTTCACTCTTTAAAGCGAGTAGTAAGTATCAAAACTAGGGGCTACGAGTAGCCATAAAACTCCCCAGTGCAGCTGAAATGTTTAACAAAATAAATACAAATATATTACAACATAGATAATGTTAATTTGTGGTTTTCTAAGTGAGCTTGCTGCTGGCAGAAATTTGAGTTTGACAACACTGCCTTTAACTACTCTTAGATTCAACTTTGGATCTATTTGGAGTTAATTGAATTTGGCTTGGAGTTATTCAGATTTATCTGAATTTGTTTTCTGTTTTTAGAAGCTCTTGCTAAAATCTAGATTCTGGGCTTCAAATGTGTCTCTTTGATGGTAGAAGTCTTTTTCCATGGGTACTGATTGTTGTTAAATCCCAGATTAGCAGAGATTGTAATACTTAATAGTAATAGTAAAAGAAATAGTTGTTGAAAATTGGAATCTCTTCTGAAATTGTCTGTTACTGCTTCAGAAGACTTTTTTTTCAGCTCTAATTTGTGACAAAGAACTGTTTGCTTAATTAAGCTAACTTTCTACTTGTGGTATAAAAAGAGCCTACCATTTTTATAGCTCAAACTTAAATCCAGAGACTTTTGTTCTAGCTGTCTGCCACCATGTTGAGACCTAAAGTAGGTTTGTTTCTTATCTTGTCATGAAGCTTAATGGTTCTGTGTTTTCACGTCTGTGCTCTAATTGGAAAGTCATTGTTTGTGCAAATTAAGACTAAGAGATAGGTATGTCCTTGACCCTTTTGGACTTAGAACCAGCTAATGTCAATCTCAGCTTCAGTGTCTAAGGTACCGAAAAACTCTGCCTATCTTGTCCAATGTGTTATTATACGTTGTTGTAGTTAAAAACGTTTTTTTCTAAACTTGCTTTTTTTAACAGGGCTTCTTGAGATGTCTTTATCTTGGTTAAAGCCGTCTTAAGTCTAGGATTCTTGGTCCTTCATTTTTTGTATTCAGGAACTTATTTTTAAATATCAGTTTACTCAGGTTTCATCAGACTCTAGGAGACAATTTTTGCTAGTGAAATTCAAGAAATTGATTTATAAACCAGAATACTATTTACTAATTTACATTGAAATATACCTGCCAGGCTGACCAGAATATTCATGCTAAAAGATCAGCTTATTCTCTTCATATTAGAATTAAGTCTATTTGGGAAAATAGATTAACATTAGAAGGTCACTTGGTGAACATAGTCAATATAAAGGAATTGGATGACTTTAAGAGTGTCATTAGGTAATGATACTAGAATATATGTTCACTCCAGGTATAGAGATGTGTTTTTCAAATAGACTTATGTTAGTTGATCAGGGCAGATTTTCCCCTAGGAAATGGGAAAACTAGGGAGATACAATTTTTACTCTTCAAAGTCATCATTTCCTAAGTTCTATGCAGACCATCAAAAGCTTTTGTCACTAAAATATTATGTTGTGTTACAGTTAACAAGACTAGATCATTTTAGATTGGTATTGCCTTATTTATAATTTAGGAGACAACCTATTCTCTAGCAGCATGATTACAAATAATTTTTAGGATGTTATTCTTAAATAATCAAGAAACAATAATGTGTTCTGTGTTCTGTATTTATATGGGGCCCTTTATCCTTAAAATCAGAGAAATTTCCAGATCAAAATCTTATTGTTAAACATATCTACCATGGTTTGACATTTCCACTAATTATCAATAACAGAAATACAGTATACAGAAAAGGAAATGTGACAATGGTGCTGTGCTCTTCCTTGATAAGATAGTGTCTAGAGTGTTGGTCAAGTCTGTTTACCACATTTTTAGAAGGACATTGATATATAATGTCTTCCAACCCCTCATAAGCTTGCCCCTCACCCAAACTTCCCTATTTTCGTTGAGGGTACTACCATCCTCCCAGTCACCTAAGTTCATAACCTTAGATCCATCTTTTCCTTCTTCCTCATCACATATAACTGGTCACTTGATAGGTCTTGTCTATTCTGTCTTTACAACATCACTGTCATCCTTTCACTTCTTTGTACTCACAGAACCACCAACCAGCTAGCTACTCTAGTTCAAGTCCTCCTAACCCTTTGACCAAAATGTTATAAATAGCTGTTTATTTGCTATCCATGCTTTCTTCCAGTCTCTTCTCTCCAGTAGATCTTTTACACGGTCAAAATAAGTATCTTGAGGCATAGGTCTGAACATGGCAATCCCTTGCTCAGAAATCTTCAGCATTTAGCACCAAGGTTGGGACAATAGTAGATGCTTAATAAATGTTCATTGATAGTAGACAGTTAAAAGTCATTCACAGCCTAGCTCCCACTTCCCTTTTCAGCTTTATTTTATACTGCTCAGTTTTACCAAGCCTACATTTCAGTTCAGTAGAAGTTCTCAATGAGTTTGACTGCCATAGCCAACACCTGTGCCTACATACAAATTACCCTTTATACCTCTACTGCACTTCCTTTTCATTTCAGCCTCTCCTTCTCCTCCTTCACATCTCAGCTCAGGTATCCCTCCTGTGTGAAGTTTCTGTGATCCCTTCCCAGTTGTTCTTTTTCTTTCCTTCTTTAAATTAACTATATTATGTTTATCCACATTGAGAGGGACTGTAACTAGGATTTCATTGGTCCTGCAGTGGATACAGCCTACGACTTGGAATTAGAGGATTTGTGTTTGAATCCTGCCTCAGACACTTAACTAGACAGGTGATGCTGGGCAAGTCGCCTTTATATATCACATAGCCAATATTTGGGGGTGGGGGTGAGGGAATCATCTTCCTGGTTTGCAGGTTTGTTCTTTATCTGCTCTTCTATACTACCACCACCAACTCCATACCTTCTTACCACCTGGAAAATTATATGATGCTTTAAGACCTCACAACAACCCTGGGAGGTAGGTGCTATTATCATCCCCATTTTACAGATTAGGAACCTGAGGCAGATAGAAGTTAAGTAACTTGTCCAGGGTCACATACACAGCTTCCAAGTATCTGAGATTGGACTTGAACTCAATTATTCCCGAGTCTATTCTCCTATTCTTTCCCTCTTTCTCATTCACTGACTCTCTCTGCCTCCTCTCCTTTCCTTCTTTTCTTCCATTTAGTTTTATGTTACATCCTTCTGCTAGAATATAAGTTCCTTGAGAGTAGGAACTGTCTCATTTTTCATCTTTCTGTTTCTTGAAAGTTCATGGTACCATGAATGTAGTAGGAACTTACTAATGTTTGAGAGGAAGGTAACCAAGATAGCAAGGTTGAGGTGAGGGGAAGGGTTCTCAAGACCATGCATGCAAGGATCTGTTGAAGAAATTGAGGAACATTTTGGTCTGGAGGCAAGAAGATTTAGGAGGGACACAGTAATAATCTTCAGATATTTATAAGATTGCCATGTAAAATCAGATCTGTTCTTTTGGTGGTATCCAAAGAAGAAAGCTAGGACTGATGGGAGAAGTTAGATGAAGGCAGATCCAAGTTCAACTTAAAGAAAAACATTTTAACAATTGGAATGACCCAAAAACACCTTGCAGCTTATAAGTGGAACCTGAATGATTACTTACCCTGGAGATTGTGAATGATATTCATGATTTAGGTGGAGGTTAAACTAGATGACCTTTGAAGTCCTTTTTAGATCTAAGATTCTGTGGTTCACCATCTGCTAGCATTCTGACAGAGTAGAACATTTGGGGGTGGGAGGGGAAGCAATAGGCCAGTAACTTAATGTTTATCAGCAGTTGAATCACCATTCAGAATAGCTTAGGTCCGTCTAGTCTGCAGGCAGAAGAATGGGAGTAGACAGCTCTTAAGGTCTGATGGTTCTCAAAAAATACTGAAAATACTTGTTATTGGAATTTTACCAGTTGAAAAAATTAAAGATAAAAATATTCTAAGGTTTTATTTTACTAATACTTTTTTTGAAGAACAAAAAAAAGTAGAAATAAATATAACTTAGGATAGTTATTTGTTTTTTTTCTCTCTCTCAAGTTTGACATACTTAGGAAATATCTGAAATCTCAAAGTGCTATAAGTTACAGTTATATTTACAAATACTAGATGGTACTATCTCATTTACATAGACATTACACTTACCTGGCAACCACAGTTCTTGGTAAGGAGTGGTGGCCGCTATGGTGGTGGTTACCAGTGTATCATAGTGATACTCCTTTTTTACTGGGAAAACTTACATTAAAAAGTTCAGCCATTATGCAGATAAATAGTTATTTTTAAAGGCTGTATTGAAATTCCTCTTGGTTTTAGAAATTTTCAAGAATTTTAAATGTTCCTTAAAATGCTTTTCAGCACTTACCGTTTTGTGAAGACTGAACTATGAAGTATTTTCTATATATGAGACACTTTTCTAAGCCTGTGGTTTTTTTTCTCCTTTGAGTACTAAAAATGAGCCTTCTTCCCAACAGCAAAGTGACTATATATATATATATATATATATATATATATATATACATATATATATCCACTTTTAAATACCTCTTTAAAATTCATCCTCCTATTAAACAAATCCATTCTCATGTTCCTCTGTGCATCCTGACCTCCCCCTCCTCTCATTTCAGTGTCCCTAGGATTCCGTGGGCCTTTGCCATGACAGAAGTGTGTGGTGTCATTCTCTGTTACATCTGGCTGCTGGTGCTGCTCCTTCACAAACACAGGTACTTCTTTACTTTTGGCTGCAAGTAGTTTAAGGTTTTGACTTTTTAGAAACTATCTCGACACCTTATTCTAGCCTGGTTGTTAATAAGCCTGTTTTACTTCCTTGTTTATTTCTTCCCATGCTTTACGTAATTAAAAAAAATTTTTTTAAAAAGATGATCACAGTGTGATAGCAATTGAGGGGAACGTAGTTTGGGGTGGGAGCTATTATAAGGGTTAGATAAAAATGAAATATTACCGTCTTTGTATTTGGAAGTTTATGTCCTTAGAGTTCTGGGTCACATCTGAGTAGGGAGGTGGAGGAGTGAATGGAGAAAGACTAGACAGCTGCAGGATAATTGCCTAAGTCTTCACCTGGCCAGTCTCTTGCTCATCTTTGACAGCACACAGTATTCTCTTGAGAGTGATTCCCTTCAAAGGCATTAATTTAGTTTTACAAAGAATACGCTGTTCCTTACTATGACATGACATATTGAAGTACATATTGTTCTTTGGTTATTGAATTTGAGTCATGTTCAGTATGTTTAATATGAATAAACACAGTACCACAATGTGGCCATCCACTGTTATAGCAAACGAAAAGCTCCTTTTCTGCTTTAGAGAGTATGGGGAGGGAGGAACACCATTTTGGGTTTGAAAGGGAAAGATGACATAGTCATTGATATTTTACTGTCCATATAACTTTGGAACATTTGGATGAACTGATTAACACTCTTTGACACTCTCTCCCTTACTTAAGGTAAATCACAGATACGCTTTGGGTCTGAGGTAGCAGTTCTGGTTCTTTTAAGACTGTTGACAGGCAGTATAGTGGTAAAGGGACTGAATTAGGTGTAGAGATAGCTTTGTGATCTTGGGCAAGTCACTTTATTACCTGTGCCACAATTTCTTCATCAGTAAAATAAAGGATTGCCTAAATGATCTCTAAGGCCTCTTTCAGCTCTAAATTCTATGCTTCTAGGAAAGCAAGCAGTACGTAATAGAAAGTCTCAGTTTCATGTACAGTTCTCTTTTCTGTTCTGCTATGTATGTGGAAATGGCTTTTTAAAAAAATTTATTTAAAGTTCAGAGTGAAAATTAATTTATAAATCCTTTGATTCTGTAACTATCCATTGTGGTCAACTCTGAATACAGTTTTGCCTCATTTTGAAAGTCTAGATGTATTACTCTGGGTGTTGCTTGGGGCAGGGGGTAGTATGTACACATAACATCATTACTACTTTCCAATGACACTCCTATTCCATAGAATCTTCTTTTAAAATACCAATCAGAATCAGAGAAGTTGGTTCTGTAGGAAACTTCAGAAAGTTAGGAGTAACCCACTGCTATATTAGATCCAAGTACAGATATTGTTACAATAGAAAGGGTTCAAGGCATGGTGGGGTCCTCTGAGAACACAGATCTGGCCCCCTGCTTAAGGAGCTCCCCTGTCCATGAAATAGAGTGAAAAGTGGTGGCCCAGGAGTGGAAGGAGCTGTACGCTACAGATCACCATTACAAATCAGTACTTTATTTAGCCAAATGAGTGGCATTCAATCTAGTTTTCCAAACAGAGAAAACATTAGGAATTAGATTTTATTGGGCCACTGCCAGTGAGACAGGGCCTGACATGAATCCTAACAATGACCCTTCATGTCTGTGTGACCTTTACTGGGCCTGTCTTCTCTTCTGTAAAAGGGCGATAATATTACTTAACACTGTATATATCACGGGCAGGTTGTGAGGGAATAGCTTTTCCCCTTAGGTTGTAAGTTCCTTGAGAGCAAGACTTGTGTGGGATCTATTTTTGTATTCCTGTTACCTAGCACAGAACTTTAACCTCCTAAGTGCTTAATGAAATATTTGTTAATTTGAATCAACCATTTTGCAGTGTTAGATAGTCATACACCTGTAACTGCTAGATACACAAGTATTTGCTGATGGGCAAAAAAAAAGTGTTCTATTACAGCGTGGCGTAGTGGAGAGAACACTAGAAAAACCTGGGTTCTAGAGCCCTGATCTGTCATTACATTGTAACCTTGTGCAAGTTGTTTGGCTTTTCTAGACCTGTTTCCTCTTCTGAAAATGAGAGGACTGGACCAGATGATCTCTTAGATCTATGGTCTCTCTCTTACTATTCTACTTTTTAAATAAATATTCAAACTCCCCGTTGTATGATTTTTCCCCCCCTTTTGGATACGCTATTTACAGGTCAATACTCCTTCGAAGACTCTGTAGCCTGATGGGCACTGTGTTCTTGCTTCGCTGCTTTACCATGTTTGTGACTTCCCTTTCTGTGCCAGGACAGCACCTCCAGTGTTCTGGAAAGGTAACTGGCCGTGTTCTTACCCTCTTTCTTGTATTATAGTAGAGTGTTGGAATGATGGCACTGTTTGAGACATTTCTGATGGTAGTTATTTCTAACTGTATGTTATATATTAATAAAGCGTGCTTTTCGGTATTTGCAGGGTACATAGTAAACATCCAGGTGAGTGAGACCAAGATCCAAATTTCTTTGGATCCATGCGGATTAGTTTGTCAGGTGATATCAGTGTAAGAATTTTAAAAACTGTTTCCCCGTTCGTTGTGGCTTTGATAAGTAGCTCATAGTTAGTACTAAAGATCTGCTTATTCTCCTAACTCGTGAAATACTGTGAGTGACTTGTTATATAAAATGATGACTCATTGTATCTTTGAACATCTTTTCAGGATTAGGGGCCACAGGTCCAGATCACAGGATCATAGATGGAATGCGCTGAAAGGGACAGGAACGTCAGAGGTTCTGTAGCGTCCAACCCCCTTATTTTATAGATAAGGAAAGTGACTAGCCCAGGGCTACAAGGCACTAATGTTCAGAAATTGTCTCCGCACAAGATACTAACTCTAATTGGCTCTAGTGGGAGCAACATCCCACCAAATGAATGCAGGAATCCCCTCTACAATATCCCTGGCAGTTGGTCATCTAGCTTTTACTTAAATACTTAGAATAATGGGAATTTTAGTACTTAACATTCCATTTTTAGACAACTCCAATTGCCATAAAGTTCTTTCTTCTAGTGAGTTATGGTATGAGTCCTAACTATAGCAATTCAAGGAGTGCAGAAGTAGAATGGGCTGCTTCAAGAGGTAGTGGAAATCTGTAGCTATTCGGAGGGTTTAATTATCAAGGAGAAAGGAGAAAAATCTAAGATCTTACTTAGCAGTTAGACTAACTAGGAGAAATTTAAAAGATAGTCCAAATATAATGAGAACTTGTTGCTTCTGGGAAGGATTTGTTTGAGGGGTTGATTCCTCATGGAATGGGTGGTAGTACAAAATACTACAGCGCATTTTCCAAAGAAAAATGTTACAGTAATTAAGTTGCCAGCAGAAGTAGGTCTCTTTTCTGTCTAATGCCAGTGATTGGTTGCCAGTTTTTTATATATGGAAATATCTATTTTAATCTACCCTTAATACTGTTAATTGCTGTGAGTTTTGCTATAGCCTACTTTTTGACCTATATTATTTGTGGCATCATTTTAAAATTGGGTAATTGAAAAGGCATCCAGATCACATCTTATTACAGCAAACCCCTATTGCGACTGTTAAGTGTATTGCCGCATGGTAGCCTCATATAGTGAATAAAGAGCAAAGAAAAGGGCTAGCTCTGGATGAGGAAGATGTGAGTTCAAGTCCTCCCCCTGAAACACAGCTGGGTAACATTAGGAATTTAACCTTTCAGTGTCTCCAAACAACTCCTCCACATTATCAGTTACAAACAAATTGCCAGTCTGTGTCATTGGGAAGAGTTCACTAGCCATAAAGCTAGATAGCTAGAAATGACATGGCCCACAGGAAGTGGGAAGAAAACAGAATATTTCTGTGAAAGAAGCCAGGTAGTGAATTAGTCATCAGAGACTGCTCCAAACATAGGAAAGAAAACCCTGAAGCAAATGCCTACACTTGTTTTTGTCAGTGCTTCCTGCCTGTTGTTTGTAATGTAATATGAATGATTTTGGTCAGCTTTTCTAGGTGAGGGTAGTTGGGATGTTTAAGATGGAAAGAGATAAGGGGAACTGGAATGAATAAATGAAAAAAAAAATTTATTAAAGTACTTTCTGTATGCCAAGCACTGGGCCTGAGCACCAGTGATACCAAAAACAAAAGCAAAACTGTCCCTTCAGGGCAGCTAGGTGGCACAGTGGATAGAGCACCAGCCTTGGAGTCAGGAGGACCTGAGTTCAAATGTGGCCTCAGACACTTAACACTTCCTAGCTGTGTGACCTTGGGCAAGTCATTTAACCCAATCGCCTAGCCAAAAAAAAAAAACCAACAAAAAAAACCACCAGTCCCTTCCCCTCAGGAGCTTACATTCTAATAGAGGGAGACAACATCCAGGGGGCAGTGGTGAGCAGGAATGGGTGTTTGGGACTGGGACATGACAAGGGATGGTGAAGTAGAACCAGAGTGTAGTTGATTTTCATTCCCTTAATAATAGCAATGGCGGTATTTGATTATGGTTTCATAATCAAGGGTAGGAAGGAAGATGACAGGAATGTGAAGCATGCGTGGCTGGGGCTGGATACATATGGGGGTAGGATAGCATAGGCCCCCAGGTGTGAGTTCTGGAACTGAGGGTCAAGTCCCTTAGCAAAATGTAGTCAGGGAAGTTGGCAATCAGTGCTCTAAAGGTGCAGTGACAGACCCACCAGCAAGAACATGGCCACAGCAGAGATTAATTACTGCTTTTTAGCTGTCATCACTTGCTTCCTCGATTTGGCTTGCCAACTTTTTCCATTGATTTTACTTCCTTACATCAAAGTAATGCTGCTGCCTTCCTAGCTTCAAAATAAGATAGAAGACATTAACATTGAATTTGAAAGCTAGATAGTGAATTAGCAATATTATAGGAATTTAGAGTACCTGTGATGAGAGGATATGATAAAATTTAAGTTAACTTTGTTCCCCATGAGTACTTGGGTATCAGCTATAAAGGTGGAATTCAAAGCAGACTACAGTGGCAGTCAGTCAGTACTGAGGAAACAAAATCACACTGCCAGTAGACATTGCTACTCAATAAATATTACTGAGGAGATGTTTCTGTGGTCAGTAGCTAGCCTTGGTAATGCAACCCACTCATCAGATACCTTTTCTTTAGAAAGTAACTATGACTGACCCTTCCTTGGGATGGATTAGGATTAGTCTCATAGACTATTTCTTTATGAATAGGACATGTAAGCGCTCTCACTGTGCCAATGGCCAGGCCTGGAAAATACTTTAGTTGGGGCAGTTAGGTGGTGCAGTGGATAAAGCACCTGCCCTGATGTCAGGAGGACCCGAGTTCAAATCCAGTGAGCCTCAGTCACTAGCTATGAGACGCTGGGCAAGATTAACCCTGATTGCCTCCAAAAAAATGCTTTAGTTGTAGTGAGCTTGAGTAAAAGAGCCTGACACATATAGTGAGTGGTTTGAGCTGGGACTGACTTCATACATGTTTGAATTAATGAGTCAAGCACGGTTCGCTTAGTGAATTCTTAGGTTTGACTGGAACCAGACTGAATCCAGTCATTTTTACTTAGGCATCATTCATCTTCTGAATCATTCAGCTTTTGAATTTTGCCGAGAATTTCATGTGGGAAGCCTTAAGTCATCTTTTTGAGCATTTTAAATACTAATCTATTGTTTTCCTCATCTCAGCTGTACGGCAGTGTTTGGGAAAAACTGCACCGAGCCTTTGCCATATGGAGCGGCTTTGGTATGACCTTGACTGGAGTACACACTTGTGGAGATTATATGTTCAGTGGCCACACAGTTGTCCTGACTATGCTGAATTTTTTTGTTACTGAATGTAAGTATCCATCCATTGTCATCATGACTTTATTCTTCGAGTCCTTAGTGAAGATTAGGAGAGTCTATCATACGTTAGTGTCCTATCTGAGCAGAAGATGTGTTTATAGGCTGATTTACAGAATACATGATGAAGACTTGCTTGTGGTTTTAAATTGAAATTTCTTTTCTTTCCAGATACACCAAGAAGCTGGAACTTCTTGCACACTCTGTCCTGGGTCCTCAACCTCTTTGGAATCTTCTTCATTCTGGCTGCACATGAACATTACTCCATTGATGTGTTTATTGCCTTTTATATCACCACAAGACTCTTTTTGTATTACCATACTCTGGCCAACACCAGAGCGTATCAGCAGAGTAGGAGAGCGAGGATCTGGTTCCCCATGTTTTCATTTTTTGAATGCAATGTTAATGGTACAGTACCTAATGAGTATTGTTGGCCTTTTGCAAAACCTGAAGTAATGAAAAGATTAATTGGTTGAAGAATGTGTCTTTGTAAAGGATTCGTGATCAAATATACAGAAATGATTTCAAAAACTAATAACTTTATTTTTTCCCCTCGTGTTTCTGAATGCCTTGTTACTTGGCTTGTTAGTTGACAGAGTGGGACTTTCTGTGCTTAGCAAGGTTATAGTTGTAAAAAGTAAGCATTGAATAGTCACCAATACTCAAGTAGGTATTTGAACAGAAAGCTCAAATAATCTTTTTTCCTTTTAGGGGAGGGACAGGGAGAGAGAGAGTGCAGATTTTGTGTTAGCATTTTGAGATAGGTATATTTTTTGTTAAAAAAAAGATTTCTGCTGATTACTGGCATGATTATATTCAAGAAGTAATATTTTGTGAAAGCTGCTTCCAGTTATCTTCAAAGAAAAAAAATCCATGAGCAATACTTGTCATTTAAAATCTCTCTCTCTCTCTCTGTGTCTCCTCCCACACCCCCCACACACACACACACATGCATATATATGTTTAGAAAGTGTAATTCTGAAGAATGAATAAGTTCTTTTGGCTAATACCTGCCTTCTGAGTCTGCCATCTCTGAGAAGATACAGTGTTACACCAAGATGCCTGAAACTAGGAGAAAAGAATAAAAGGGGCATTCAATGGGATGGACAGAGTGCTGATGATAAAGCCATCAATAAATGCAGATCACTTGATCCCACTGCATTTATGACCAGAGGAGCAAACAATATAAAATATTTTCTTTTCCACTTGGTGGGGGCCTCAAGTTAGCCTTTGGTCGGTAAGAAGAGATAGCTACATTCATTGAAAAATAACTGTGGTTTAGTTTTAGTGACATTACCTTGAACAAACTTGTACTTTCTAAAGATAAATTATTTAACTAGAGAAATGGGAGGGTTTTCTAGATATTGAACAAGATTTTTATGCCCTGTAAATAAGAAAAATAAGCATGTGATCATTTTAACTTCTGAAAAACAGCTTAATAGCAAATTTCAGAGTCTTTTCCCTTCTGTTTTTGATTTTTGAAGTTTCTGGTTCCAGCTCATTGAAAAATGAGCAAGTATATTTAGAGACTCAAAGAGAGTTTTGTTTTGTTTCTAAACACAAACTTGTAAATACATTCTTTTTATAAAGTGTTATTTCAGCAGCCAGCACATTAGATTAGCTGCTTGTTTACAACACTAGAAGTTAAGTATACTGGATAATTTAGCTCCTAAGATACCATTGGTCACTTTTTTGGAATGATTCTGTTTTGTGGTTGTGACTAGAGAATAGTTAAAAAACTGGAGTCTTGAAATCTTTGGTGGGCAGATGTAGTGTGCCCTGCTCTTAGCTATCCTCTGAAAACCCTGTGGATGAGCTTCGTTGTGCAGTCTTAATGTTACTTTTTATACATAGGAAGTTAGAAAAGGTGCTTGGATTTGAAGCCTTTATCTTGAGGCCCTAAATGAGGCCAATCTAGTAACAACCTGCTCCTTTGCCTTTTTCTTTAGGCACTTTAATTAATCTCTCGCCCATTAGCTGCAGAGGATCCAGGGTGGATTACAAGGGAAAGTATTATTATCCTAGAAAGACTCACCTTGGTACTAGGTGACCTCAATTTGTATTGGCTTTGAACTTTACCTTTTAAGTTCACCCCTGAATGTCTCTATAGGAGATACCAAGTGTGGAACGAGGTTAATTTAAGTTTTATTATGCTCTGTAGTTCCTGATACTTCCAATTCTTCTAACACCTTAAATCATCAATCTTGTTATATTGGTGGGGAGGACAAAAATGCTGACATTTCATCCAAGGATATTGCATTGTCTTGAAGGATGATTGGTTCTATGCCAATCAGAGTAGTTAATATTAAACTGGTCTGCCCCCTCCTCCTTGAGGTCAAGAGATGGCCAGTGTTATTGCTTTATTTTCTGAGGGGCAAAAAGAATTGAACATCCCCTTTTGAACTTAGATGCATTATAGTTTAGCTAGCTGGGGAAGGTCAGATAATTGCTTCTGGAGAAACTTTTCAAAATATGTTGTAACATTTTAATTTGAATATGTTAAATACCTATTTAATGATCAATTTTTCCATCTTTAGTCTTTTCTTCATGTAATTTTTAAGACTCAAAAAGAAAAATGCAATTACCTTTTTAGAGCTTTTGACATCGAAAGCACTTAACCATGGGCTGCTTTCGAGCTTCATTGGCTGTAAGGACTTAAAAATAACTTTTCAACCTGGCATTTACTTGTTGCTATGGTCGAAGCAAAAAGTAGAGGTTTGTAATTTATTATTGTAGCTATTTTAAGACAGTGTTTACATAAACTAAAATGATTATCTCAAAGGCTCTTTCCTGAAAGACTTTGAGAAAAAATCTTTTCATTTTTTTAAATGTGAAATATATATTCTTGTAATTTTTTTGTCCAGAAATTTCCAGTTTTACCTTCAGACCTTTTTTTTTTTAATTTCCTTCTTAAAAACCAAGCCATAGTGATGATAACATTTGTGTTTACATTTTGGGCTTCATATGTTTGGGTAGAGAAGCTACACACACTAGGTCTACATCATTGTTCAATGGCATTATGGTTCTACCACTGTGAATTGGTGAGGCACTCACATCACCAAGAAATCAGGATTTAAGCTTCCCCATTTTCAAGGTGCTGTGGGGTTACGTGTAGAAGTAAAGACAAGGGTTTGAATTTGGCAAGCAAAGGTAGTTAGTTTCCTTTCTTGCTCTGATGTAGTTGCTGGGGTTCTGGGGCTCTAGAGTTCCCTTCTTTGGACTAGCAAGGGTTGTGATTTTAGTCACTACTGAAGTACAGTAGGACAGGAAGAGGCCGGAAAGGGGGAAGTCTACCATTGATGCGACAAATAATGGGCCCTACTGCTCTACCACGTTCCTAATGCCTCTTTTCCTTAGTCTCACGGGGCCACAGAGAGAGCAAAACTGCAGCCAACTCTGTAAAAATGGCAAAAGGTTGGAGTCTCCATCTTTTATATCTTATCATGGCCTTCTGGGTTTTGTGAAGGAAGAAATCAGTAAATGTAGATTTGGAGACAGGGACTTGAATAAGTGTGAGTTGTTCAAAGAGAAAATTCACTGACTAGAAACTTGGCGTTTCAAAAAGAGCATTTTAAGGAAAACATTGTGAGTATTCTTCTTTTCCTTTTGCCCATATGTTGTTTCATGGAACTCCAGAAAACCAACAAATACAAAAAGAGGATGAGAGACGGCATCTTGATAGTATAATGGATTTAGTTTTCAGGGGATCTGTTTAGAAAATGTTAGTTCAATGTTACTGAAATACCAATAACACTAACTTGCTGTTTGTATTCAGCTAAAAATAAATATCACTAATTTTACATTAACTTTTTGTTACAATTACAGAACGAGTACTCTAACCAAATCCTTGTTTAAAACTTGCTAATTCAGTAAACTCAATTTTTATAGTCTTTTTTATAGACTTCAAATATCACTCATAAATTATAACATTAGTCATAGCTAAGTCTAGTAAGAGTGTTCAGTTATTTAAGATGAATAAAAATGAACTGTTAGAATAGTTCAGTTGCTTTTAAAACAGTATCAGTTTCATTTGGATGCTTTCAAAGCCAACTGAGGTATGCTAATTAGTATCCAACTTTGCTTAGCAGGTTAAGGAACTTGTTTTTGACAAACCTTAGACTGAATAAATTGTGTCTGAGAGGAGGTGAATTTGTCCATAAGGCCAAACTGTTACAAGCAATTAACAAAACTAGATTTTCCCCCCAATGTGTTTGAACAGATTTGAAAAGATTGTACTTAATGTGGGAGGAAGAACTACTACCAATTTATAATGACTAAAATTTGATCTGCTCTTTTTTTGGTAAATCCAGCGGTAGCCTTGACTAAATCTATAAACTACGATTCGGTCATCAGAGGCTATTTTTTTAAATTATGCTTTCCTTCCCAAACTAACTGAAGGACATTGCAGCTCCCTATTCAGAGCACTCCACAACTGAACATAGGCTTGATCCCTGAGGGTGGGAGGAATATTGTAAAAAGGCATGTTCTGTACAGAAGTCAAGGTGACTTTTTTCTAGACCTATATAACAAGTCTAAACGGCTGAGTTGACTGAAGAATGAAATACGGTTAGCCACATGATCAGTCAATCCATTGATAAATTAGTAATATCGCCCTCTTGTTTCATTGGAAGTCGCTTTTATCTTGAATAGTCTGTTGGCACTATGGAATACTTTGGTTGGATAACAAAAGACATGGAAACTGGTACTTACTGCTTTGGGGGAACCAGTGCCAGCTCACACTGACACAAGCACGCTCCCCTCTTGAGGGCTGTGCCTAAATATCTCCCTGCTCCACAAAGAAGCCAGTGTTACTTGAAGGCGTGAGCCCCTGTGGCAGCCGCACCTTGAAGCACAGCATTGTAAACAAGTGAGCATTGTCTTGATTCAAAATTTAAATCCAGATCGCATTCATATATCATTTTATATCTTTGTTGTATCAAAACATATTTAAAAGAACTAAGAATAAAACATTTGAAAGCTTCATTGAGGTCTCATTTAAAGACTTTTTTGTTATTATTGAAGCTGTTTAAAAAATTAGTCGTCGTTTGTGCTGACAAAGCAGAGCACAGCAAGGGAAGTTAGAGTCCTCGTGAGGAATTCATGTTGGATATCCTTGTCTTAATACAAGACGAGCTGCTTTCTGCATCTTCCCTTTCTGCTTTATAGAAAGGGTATTTCATAAGGCTGTTGAAGCAGTTTTGATGGGGAGGATGGGAAGGACTCAAAAAGGGGGAGGAAATTCTTCCTTAGATTCCATTTAATTTTTTTAAATTTAAAAAAAAAAGTTTGTTTTCAGTTCCAAATTCTCTCCCTCCTTCCACTTCCTCCCTCACCAACTGAGAAAGCAAGAAATACTCTACCCATTATACATATAAAGTCACACAAAACATATTTCCACATTAGCCATGTTGCCAAAACAAGAAAAATGAAGTGGAAAAAAATGCTTCAATCTGCTCTGAGAGTTCATCAGTTCCCTCTGGAGGTGGATAGCAGTCTTCATCATGAGTCCTTTGGAATTGTTGTGGATCATTGTATGATCAGAGTAGCTAAGTCTTTCACAGCTGATTATTGTGATAATATTGCTGTTACTGTCAACAACGTTCTCCTTCCTACTTCATTTTGCATCAGTTCATATAGTACTTCTTAGGTTTTTCTGAAACCGTCGTGCTCTTCATTTCTTAGAGCATAATAGTATTCCATCATAATCATGTGCCACATGGTCAGCCATTCTGCAATTGATAGGCATCACCTCAATTTCTAATTCTTTACCACCTCCCCAAAAAAGCTCCTATGTTTTTGTACATATGGGTCCTTTTCCTTTCATCTCTTTGGTGTACAGACCTACTAACAGTATTGCTGGGTCAAAGGGCATATAGTTCTTTATACTTTTTATATTTCGACATAATTC